TTTACAAAACCAGATTGCTGCCAAAGGACAGCCTGTGACCAAAGCCACCCCAGACCTGACCTATAAATGGACTTTTTAAAGTAACCACAGGCACTACTGCTCCTAATCCACTTTCAAGAAGGGCAGCAAACACCTTAAGTCTGAAAGAAAACGTTCTGTTTAAGGTTTTGCTGCTGAAAAGCATCTGAAGCACAGGCAGGATTGCTCACAGCAATAGGTACCACAGCTCACCCCACAGCAGAGGCAGAGGGATGTGTGCGCTGGAAGGGAACACATTTTCTGCTCATTAGGAGTTAACACTGCTGACAACAACAAAAGGGCAAATAGCATTTGGTGTCGTGGCTGTCAGCCACAGTGCAGATTTTGTCACAGAAGCCAGTCAGTGACAGTATTCTGCCACTGCTTCAGATCAGGAAAGGAGACATTCAGGGCTTCTATTTCAGTATGTGTTTCACTGGAAGAGAGGACAAGCAGGACACACTGGGAAGTGCTGACTCAAACACCAGCTATCAGTGTCTTGCAGAGCCCACGTTTGCTCAGGGGAGATTTTGGGGCCCCTTGCAGGTTGCAGAGCACTATCAGTGGTCTAGAAATGCTAACCAAGCTGCATCCCTTCCTCTCTCTTTTTTTTTTTTTTTTTTTTTTTTTTTTGAGGTTTTCTAACACATGCAAAACTTTCACCCTTGATCCTCCAGCCAATGAGCAGTGGAAGGAAGAGACAGGCTCAGTTTCTAGGTAACAGTGGTATTGAAATCCACCCCAGGGCTGGGGCTGACCCATTTGGGAGCTGGCCAGAGGAGCAGAAATCAGCAGAGGCAGAAGCTGCTGGGACATGGGGCTGTCACCTGCTGCTGTCACCCCCTGTGCCACCCCTCTTCACACCCTCCTTTGGGTCCAAACCCTGCTGCTGGTTCAGCACCAGGCAAGGCCTGGCTTAGGAAGCCTGAGACAGAGAGGGGCTGTTCATTAATTAACTGTAATTAATACCAATGCTAAGCTTGGTATTAATTACAGTTATTCTGGCCGTGCATTTCTCCCTGGTTCTGCCTCCTGTTGAGTCCCCCCTGTTCTGCAGGGGAAAGACACCATCCCCCTCAAAAAAAAAGAAAAAAAAGGGAATAAGTGGAGCCGCAGCTCACTGTGCACAGCTTTGGACATTCGCTATCTTAATGCAACTAACTTCAAAGCAAAAAATCTTTAAAGATGAAAAAAAGCATTCATACAGTCCCCAGGCAAAAGCATTGCAAAGTGACATGGATCCAAAATTGTTAAACCCTGTGGTGGCTCATAACCCTCGAGGAGCTGATCATCCTCTGGTAATGGCTCTCCCCATATTTACAGTGTCAGAAATTACACACCTCCCCAGAGTGCTTTCTGCAGAATAAGTCATGGCTGTAATTGCCACGTGTACAAGATGTGGCTGAAAATAAGAGAAACCAAAGGCTCAGACACTCTAAAGACAGCATAAAAACCACACTGGTAAGACGTTCTCCCACCCTCTCCCCCCACCACACAGAACAAGATATTGCCCACAGGAAGGCAGGAGATTTGGGCTGCTACTAACCACTGAAGAAAAAAATGTCCATTTATTTTCTGGGGAGGCAAGATCAAACATGCTGATATGGTGCCTGCATTATCAGCTGCTGATCAGCAACATCTGCCTCTGACACAAGGTGCACACAAAATTAGGGCAATGTTGAGACCATTTGTTCTGAGTGCTGAACTAATCAACTACAACCTGAGTGCTCACATCTGAAAAATTGCTACTGAACCCCCTCATTTCTGTATCTCAGAAAACAAAAAGCGATCAGGAGCATTAATACTTTCAAAGCATTAATACTTTCAAAGCTAGCAAGTAAGAGTATCATTTATATCCTGGTATTAACACGTAGTATTAGCACTTCCAGATAAAATCACTGGCATTTATAGATAAAAAATCACACAGTTTCATAATTTTGAGCTCAGGTGTTGCTGCATATGAAAAGTTGACTGGAAACTGGTTATCCTTCTGCATTTTATTGACAACACAACTGCTCAAAGGTGATTCTAAGTTGTATTAATAGCATTGGTTGTTGAAGGCTACCTATCTCCAAACCCCCTATTGAACAATTTGCTGCTGTGTTTAGACTTACACTTGATAGATTTTTTAAAATGTAATATACTTTAAGAAAAGCACGCAAGAAGTCAGATCCCAAGATATCACTGTACATAGCTGTGCTGGAGGAAATGAGGAAAAGGCAAAATATATCAGTTGTGAATCTGTTTCTGTGATCTTACAGAACAAAATTGTTTCACTTTAATTTAAAATAGCAATACATAAAATCACAGACTCACAGTCCAACTCCTGACCCTGCACAGGGCAGCCCCAAGAATCACATCATGTGCCACACAATAGAAACTGAAGGAGAGAATCATTATGAGGAAGATGAACTAGAATAACCCAGGGAGAAGAGAAAAAAAAAATCTTTCATCTATAAAATGGTTTTTAGAATGAGGCTCTATAAGTCAGACATCCTTGTGCTAAGTGTCATGCAAAGGAATGCATTGATTTTTTTGCTTTGCCTTTCATGATTTCTATCTACTATTTACTGGAACAGATGGAGAAGATGGCAAGCTGATCTATAAAGGCTCTCCACCCCATGCCTCCCTCTTTTCAGAGGTACAAGCAGAGAAAATAGGGAAAACTTCCCAGGCATCCAAGATGCATTAAGTGGGACATATCTTAATTCAAATCAACAACATTCTTGGTGAGGGCAGGGAGGTAATGGCAGATTTTGGAGGCTGGGATCCTTCAGAGGCATGGGCTGATTTGAGATTTTGGTATGTTCAGTGCATGCAGAAGGAAACACAACTGTTCTCATTACAAAGCCCTCTCTGCCATTGCTTTTGCACCCAGAAATGGCAAGGCTCCAGCAGAAGCTGCATGGACAACTTCTAAAAGCACATCCTCAGAAAGCACATCCTCTTTCTCTGTGGCTGCCCAGTACCTGCTTTAGAAGTAACCAAATCTCCTCTCTTTCATTTTTTCGAGTAAGGAAAACAATCAGAAGGAAACATGAGAATGCCTTGTCACCTTTCTGTAGCTCCAACCCCTGAAATCCAGAGATTCACACACAGCAAGTTATAAAGGAGATTCATAAAAGTGATATAAATGTGCTCAGCTGATAGAAATGTGCTCAGCTGCACTGGAAGGGAGAGGTTTTCAGCCACTGTGCAGCAGCTGATGCTCTGGCAGGGCAGGGTGGCTGATGGCAGTTCAGGGGAGGAGGTGCTGCTCAATTGTCCTCCGTGAGATTTGGGGATTGGTTTCATGTGTGAAGCCAATTTGGATCATTAATACTTTGGTCATAAGGCAAAACAGGAGAGGGAAGAGTCAAAGTAGGGAACAGATTAACTCATTGTTTCCTAAAGGCTCATTGTTTGAGAGGCGGGAAGTCAGCTTCACATCAGTTTCTGTAAGTTTCAGAAAAACTTAAGCAGGTTTCAGTGCACAATTCCTGCAGCTAATTTTTCCAAATCATGTGCTAATTTTTCCATATTTGCTAATTTTTTCAATTTAGCTAACATGTGCTAATTTTTCCATAATTCAGAGTAGGAATCTAAATTAATTGGTAATAAATTCATCTCATGTAAAATAAAATTTTGTGTTGTGCCTTGAAATTGCAAGTCTAGGAATTTTAGTTTTGTGGATTTAAAGCTGCTGATAGTTCTGAATCCATTCAGAAAATCTCTCAGCTGTGCTCACATCTAAAGACCAAAAAAAGCATTTTAGAATATAGTATTTGCAGGCAGCCCTGACAAAGGGGAGAGAATGATGAGGAGGACTCCATCATATCGGAAGATGAATTAATTACTTTATTAACTATATTATTTTATATTATATTACATTGTGTTACATTACATCTAAACTGAATCTGCCAAGCACTCAACTCTGCACACAACTGCACAGAATGTTGTGACTGTCCCCCAACAGTCCCAACACACACACACACACTCGGCCCTGACAGGCCAAGGAAACAAAACACCATCACTCTGGGTAAACAATCTCCATGTTGCATTCTGCTTTTGCACAAACACAGGCACAGCAAATAAGATAAGAATTGTTTTTTCTTCCTCTGAGGTTCAGAGAATGTGAAACCCAGAAATATTCTTGGGAAGAATGGTGCCTTGCTTTTTCCCCGCGAAGAGAAATGTGGCAACATTAGAACAGCCCATCTTCTCCATCAAGCTCCAAATCTGCTAGTGTGGAAATGAAAAGAAAGAAAACTTAAAAGTGCTATGGAGCTGATGAGCACTACAGGAATGGGAGGAATGAGAGTTTAGGGCTGCATGCAATATAAAGCACCAGCTCCCAACGTGTGCCTGTTCTTATGGCTCCAAAGCCATTGGGGGAGGTGCACAGGCCCGCTTTTGGAGTGCAAAATCCATGGAATCACTTTGGCTGGGAAAGGATGGGCAGGAGTGTTGGGACACCACGAGGCTGATGCTGCTGCTGCCAGTGGGATCCATCCAGCTGTGCTGCTGCTGCCCCAAACTCAGCACGGCTCACAGATCACGGTGAGAACTCAGCTGCTTCAGGGTGGAATCACCTCTTCAGGTCCCCAGCACAAGGCAGAAGATCTTCTCCAAAAGCCTCTTGGGGAGAATATTCCGAAATGTGTGGAAAACAAATCGTCTCCCTTTAATGAGATGCTTGAGCGCATCCAGAGGAGGCAACAAGGGTGGTGAGGGGCTTTGAACACAAGCCCTGTGAGGAACATTTGAAGGAATTGGGGTTGTTTAGCCTGTTCCTAATCTTTGATAATTGGCCCAGCTGCAACTCCCTAGGGGTGTGATTACTTTCTACACTATCTTTATATTCTTATATTCTATCGCCCTACAATAAAGTACTGGAGTGCTCTTCCCAGGGAAGTGGTAGAATCACCACCTCTGGATGAGTTTAAAAAAAGACTGGACATGGCACTTGGTGCTATGGTCTAGTTGAGCTGTTAGGGCATGGGTTGGACTCAATGGTCTTAGAGGTCTCTTCCAACCTCATTATTCTGTGATTCTGTGATTGTGTGTAGGGGCAAATGGGGCAGGGGAGATTCTGCTTCTGAGCACTGCAGGGGAAAGAAACAAGGTGGTCCCAAACATCATTTTGCTGAGAAGATCTGGGCTTGGGGTCTTTGCTATCTCCCAGTCTGAATTAAAGGAGTGGGGCAGGAGCAGGGATAGGAGTGCTTGGCACCCTCTTGGCTGAGCCTTGCTAAGGGAGGCTGAAGAACCAGAAGGAGCAGCAAAAGTGGAATACACCATAGTGGCATTTTTGATAACTGAGCAGGTGCCAGCCCTCCCGTGATTTTTCATTGAAAGGAGCAGATGAAATTAAGAATCAACAGGAGGAGAGCTCATCTTAGCCAAGGTATACAGAACAACTGTTTAATTTGGCTTCCTCAGGTGATTCTGATCAGGTTTCTTTGGTTAACTCGAACTGAAGTACAATGCCAAAGAAAATTTGCATTTGATTTACAGCTGAGAGAGAAGTGAAACCATTCAAGAAGAAAGTCAGTGAAGAAAAAATATAGGCAAGTGCTCCTGCACTTGAGCAAATACTTGAAGATCACAGAATATTTATTAGCAGAATATTTATTAGAATTCAGTCAGCGCTTCACAGATTTCAGGCCCCAAGAGCAAGCATTTGCTATTTTTCAAGGGGATTTATACTTGTGACTTGGAAAGTCCTCCAATACAGGAGCTCCAGCTCCAGCTGTTAGAGTTTATTGAATTGAAGTGAGTGTAGAGACAAAGGTTTGAATGAAGTGTGGCTGGTTTCTGTTAAAGGCTGCCATTATGAGCTATACAGAGTTTATTCCCTTCTCCCATAACCATTGTCGAACCTTTCCCTGAAGAAAAAGAAGAAAATCTTTTTCAGTGCGAACATACATTAATCAAGAAGCCTAAACCCTGCTCACAGTTGATGAATGCCTGCTCTCAGCTGCATTCTTGCACTGTGACCTGCATACAAACCCCACTGGCACATCTGTCCCCATTGTCACCCTGCACGTGCAGGCATCGGGCACCAGCTTAGCACAAAGGTGCTGCACTGCAGGTGACATCCCCCAGCAGCTGCTGGCCAAGTGTCCCACACTCTCCATGAGAAAACATGACTCAGACCTGGGGAATCAAGGCTTAAAGATTTATCCCTGTAATCTTCACTGATGGAGTGCAGCAGCCTGTCTGCCACCACACGCAGTTGGAATACAGCAGGAGAGGGGCTGCACCAGCCCTTGCTGGTACAGCAATAAGCTGTGATACACATCAATATCACAAAGAAAACAAAGATCAGCTGTTTCAACTTATTCCTACTGCTTTACATATACAGTAAGGTATTATTTGCTATGTAGAGGGCAATTCCCCTGAAGGACACCACATTTAAGTGGCAAATTAATTTGCTGCTTACATTCACTGGCTCTTCCAGCTGGCTTAATTCTCATCAGCCACCATAATTTATTAACAGTGAGGTGAGAAAAGACATGAATCAGCTTAATGTGCTATAAGTAGGGCATTGTCATGGCAACAAGATGCAGACTGTTTTCTACTATTTATGTATGGTTTGTTTTGTGCTCAACCTTGAGACACCGGTTGGAATTACTAGAATTAGAAACATCTTTTTTTTTTTCTATTCAGTGTATTTTTCATAAATGATTAAAATAAGCATGTGAAAGGCTGCAGAGCATCTCTCCAGGAAAAGAGCTGCATGCTTTTCAATGAGTCTTCCTAGAAACAGGAGCCTTTACTCTGATCTCCCAACCATTTTCTCACAATGTCACACAACCATGGATCAGCTCCCAGTTCATACCAGTCTGAGACCATGAACAGACCTTCCCTGTTCCATGCTCTATATTTAATTATTACCTGGGGGTATCGGAAGAATTAGACAATATTACTGAAAAAAGAGAAAGCTTTTGTATTTTCTTCAATGCAATCCATTGTACTTAGGACATGAAAAAAAAATAGGATGTTGCATTTTTACAGACTCATGACAAGAAAATCGAAAGTTAAAAATTAACAATAAAGGATTTTTATTGCCTTCCCCATCCACCTTTTGCATGAGCAATTAATGCTTTTAAATAAAGCCAGTTCTTCATTCATTCATTTTATTTACCCTGCTGCATAAAGGGAACAGTTGGAATGCTAACAGTGCCCTTTGAAAAGCAATTACCAATATCACTCTTTTATTTTCTTGATTTTTCTCCACTACCTTAGGAATCTGCTATCAAATAGCTAATGAAAATCAAAACATGTCTAAGATGTGTCAGGAAAAACACAAGGAAAAATTAAATCCCTTTCACAACAAATTTTGCAGGCTTTAAACATTGTTTTATTATGAGTAAGGACAATAAAATTTGAAAAATCCAAAGAATTATTCCCCTTTTCTCCATGCAGTAGTGATTAATATTTTGTTGTAATATGTCAGGGTTTATATTACCCTAGGTATTTCTTGGCATAATATGTAGGGCTACAGACAACACCATAACACACAAGAAAACAAAAAGCTCTAAAAAGTTACTTTTTAGAAACTTGAGAAAAAAGAGTAAACAATATAATTTTGAGCTCAAAAAACGCTATCAAGTGTGGTCCTGTTGTCATCTTCTTGCAGGGGCTCCACACTGCTGCCTCCTTATCACAAAAGTTCCAGACCTTCCTGGGGTTTTCTCACGGACAGCTCCTCAGAGCACTGACTCTTTCTGCTTCACAGAGCAGCCAACTGACCCCAGTGTCCTTCTCACCCAGCCACCCCCACTCCTTTATAGCCTCTTCTTCTCACTGGTTACAGCTGTGGCCTGGTAAAGTCAGGCCTGTTCCTAATCTTTGATAATTGGCCCAGCTGCAGCTCCTTAGGGCTGAGATTACTTTCTACACTATCTTTATTTTCTTCTATTCTATCCCTTACATGATCCAGTCCTTCCTGAGCACTTTTTCACTGTTCAAGGCTGCACTTTCCATGGCCAGATTGCATTTCATCTCCCTTCTCCTCTCACAGCACAGCTAACTTTGAAAAGGAAGGTTGTTTTGAAAAGTGGCTTGTGCTCTGCTTTCTTTCCTCAAGTGTAAGAGGACAGTCTGAAATGTTTCTCCCCCTTGGGTGTTTCTGACTGCTCAGAGCCACAGGGCACGTCCCTCATGTTGGTGAGATCAGGGAATGCTTTTTTGATGCCAGGGGAGTGCTGACAGCATCCCAATACAATTTTTCCCCTGGTGTTCCAGTGTGTGGGCATTGTGTCCCAGGTTACTGCAGGTGGATGGTGACTCCTTTCTGTCCATCCTGACTACAGCCAAGGGCATGGAATGAGACCTTAATAAAAGAAACCAAACCAAATCCCTGCCCTTTTGTAACTACCTGGTGTTTTCTCCACTCAGAAAATGAAGGATAAACAGCCTCAGCCTTCCCTAAGCTAGCTCTTCTCTGTTAAAAATGAACACACATTTCAATAACAAAACTTTCTTTGCACTTTTCAGCCTGCATCTGTAGGAAATAATAACTAACAATATATTACTAATTTGTTATTTGACCCTAAATTGATCTTTTCACCTGCCTGTGATTCATGTTACTGAAAGGTACTAAGGCAAGAATCCATCAGAGAAACCTGAAAAATGCTTCGTTATTTATCTGAGCTCTGTATTAGCTAAAACTGAATTTCCACATTAATAAATATCATTGGCATCACATCTCTCTGCCCAGTCCTGACAAGATGTCAGCAAAAGAAAGGAAAAACTCAGGAAGAAGTTTATGGTTCCCAAGATGGGAGGAGGGAGAAGGAAAAGGAGAAGGAGGTGCCTGGGCTCCGTTTGACTTCGTAATTTGTGATCTGGAAAACACAAGTTTGGGCAGGCATTTGCAGAAAAAGATGAGGAACCACACATCCCAATCCCAGAGAAAGCAAATTGGAGGCAGGGGCTGCCTTCTGAACACCAGCCCACGCCTCAGGGGAAAGGATTCACCAGGAGGCTGGAGGCAGAAATCCTTCATCCAGCCCAAGGGTATTTTGAGCTCCTCACTTCGTTGCAACATCTGAATTCTAGACAGTAGATATTGCTTTTGTTGGTAAAAAACCTGTGGTTTTGCAGGCCATTACTTTTGAAATCAGGTGATTAACCCTGCTGTGTGGAGTCAGGGGAGATCCTTCCCCACTTTGGGAAGTTTGGGCTTCAGAATGGAGACTCTGAATACCATGGGGAGGAGACAGCTCCTTGTCAGCAGGATCTGGAATGGCTCTGATTCTCTGCTTTTGTTTCAGCTGATGACACTGGATGTAGGGCCAGACAACTGAAGAAAAATTAAAATATATATGATGAAGAATGCAGCTCACATGGCACTCATGCCATGCAATTGAAAAGAGTCAGTAAAATGAGCCCTATTTTTAATAACACATTGCAAAATTCTGCAGGAGTGGTAGAGTGTAGAGAACAACTGATGGCTATTGAATGACTTAGTAAGTGAGATTTTAAAAGATGTAAAAGGACTGCCACCACTGGCAGATGCAAGGAAAACCATGTGGAGCCCTACACAGCCCTCAGAATCACAGAAGTTTCCATGTTAACCACTGTGCTTTGCCACAAAAGCATATCTGCTGTGGTGAATAAATGCTCTTCCTGGTAGTGTGACATGGAATAATGAACTGTATTTGTGCAGGAAATGTGATTTATCCCCTGGAAGGATCTTGGCATTTCCATGTTAGAAGCATTGTTGCTCATAAGGTCAGCTCCTGGTCTAAAACCTGTGCTGTGAGAAACACAATCAGTTTATTTCTGTGCAGGGAGCACATATCTCACACTTGGGCTGGAGCTTCCCAGGATCTTCACACTGAGAAAAATTAACTGATTAAAATAAGGCCACTCACGTGGCTGATGGGGAAGATGAATATTTTCATTAAGTTCATAGGAAAATAAAGGCTGTTTTAGACAATTTTTAGGCTTTCCTAAAATATATCTAAGACTTTATGTGCACATCTCACAATATGGCAAGACTGAGGTTGCTGCAATGCTGGCACCACTCTGATTTTCAGTCTGTGCCCATTTCCTCGGGGATTGATAGGGATCTGGAGAAGACCAGGTTCAGCAGAGCTGCTTTCTTAGCTTACCTTGTAATGCTTTCCGAGATACCCATCAGGGAGGGAAGTGCACAAAAGACTTTTTCCCATCCTGTACAATGTCCTGAGCCTTGAAAAACACCTCTGTTCTCCAGAGCACCCAGTGCCAGCTGGGGCCAAGGAGGGAGAAGAGCTGGAGGAGAAGGGGCAGTGGCTCATTGGAGAGTGTCCAGCTGCTGGTGGGACCTGTCCTGCAGGGCCCTGAGCCTGACTGAGCCACCTGCTGGACCTCTGACCCCCTCTGACCCCCTGGCCTTGCTCAGAGCATCACCAGGAGTCTCCACACGGCAGTGCAGGAGAGCCCTGGTTCCCTGCTTTGAGAGAGACACCAGGCAAAGCATCTCCCAGCTCTTTACTGTGCACAAACTCCTGGGGAAAACTTTGGGATGTGTGCCCAGAAGGAGTGGGGCAGTCGGAAAGCCAGGGGGCACCTGGGTCTGTGCAGAGCTGGGACCTGGCTCCCATCCTATCCCATCCCCATCCCCGTACCCATCCCCATCC